ACTCACACACGTGAAAAGCTAAGAATAGAAAGTATCCAACGATATTTTACCTCGAAACTACTAGGCTACGAATGTAAGAAAGACTACATTTCACGGTGCATGATTCTACAACTTGACCCACTCTGGACAAGACGACTAATTATAAACCTAGTATTCTTCTATAAGGTCCTACACAAAATATCATTCTCAGACAGTAAGGACATACGATTCGCACAAGAAGGCTCTTACGATCTGCGTAACCAAAATTGCACAGTGACAATAAAAGCCGTTAAGTCAACACTCCGCGAAAACTTCTTCACAGTCATGTATTCTAAAATATGGAACAATCTGCCCCTAGAAGTCAGGAACTGCAAGACAGTTTTAAGTTTAAAACGCTCTCTGTACACACTATTTCACTCTACTAATTATATAAATAAACTATTTACTCCTAGAACAAATCAACTATTAGTCTACTGCAGTACCTAAACGCGCTTAAATACCCTTACTTCTCTAAAGACTATAAATAAACCAGTAGCATAAATGCATAAAAGGACTTAGTAGAAATAAATGTGTATGTTTACTAAATTACAATGTACAACAAATATAAACATATATGTTCGACTCCACATACTTTTTCTTTTCCCTCTGCTACATTTCTGTTGTATTTACTTTGTAGTACAAGTTGCATTAATCTACATTCCGACTGAAGCTGAGAAGCAATTGAAGTCACTTACTCATATATTATCCCTCAAGGTTTGGCTAGTAATGGCTCAGCATCCTTGATGAAATCCACTGTCACCATAACAAGACGCTGTACAGCATCTTATACAAGCACTGTCAACGATCTAAAATGGCTTTTATATAGCTTTCTACGTGTTTACCAACTTACTCGTACGGAACAACCATGCAGTGACAAATGGCGGGCTATGGGTGACTTGAATGCAGTAAAACAAATCTGCTTGACAATGACCAATATTAATCTGCATTCAGTTGAATTCACATCTGGTATTACTTGCAATAAAAATGATGTCAAAATCATAAAATAAGTCACTCATTTTAAATTAATACCCAATTTGAACATAAAACAAGATACGATACCGCACACAACAAAGTTATATGGAGGAACTGACTTCAAGCTTTATTCTTCCCAAATATTTGTAATTTATCCGACACATACTTGGTTTTTTTGTTAATGCGAAGACAATATTTCTATATTTCTTTATGTGCTCCATTGAACGACTAACTATCAGAATGTGCTCACTAACTGATGTCAGAGAGGACAGCAACCATGTAATTTCACTGTAAATCAAATTCATGTAATTTAAATAATGTAAATAATACTTATCCATGCCTGTACAACTGGCGTGTCCTACAGAGATAGGAAATATATATATTAATCAACAGAAAGACCAGGTATGTGGCAGGTGGATCAAAAATACCTGGGAAAAAACAGGGCTCGAAGTCGATTCTCCTATATAACTTTGCTGTGAACCGTATTGTGTCTTATTCTTGAGTTATTACTTTTGTCGTTTTCCCCTTCCAGTGTGCATTGTTGTGGTGTGGATTTCGTGAATTTAGTGTTCTTTTGGATGTTACTAGTGTATTTTGGTCTGATCCTTAAACGACTTCTTCTTAACTTTAAATGAGGATTATTTTGGAATTTCGGGAGCGTTTTTCTCGTTTCAAGGCTATCTGTAGACATGTATATATCCATAGCGTTGAGTAGTGGGGGTATATTAGGCTCATCCTCACCATGTAGCAACCTTTTGGCTGGTGTCGTGTTCTGTAGAAATAAATTGGTGTGATCCAGGAAGGGGTGATGTCTTGAGTGCTGCCTTATTAGGTGATTGGTCATTGTCTCTCCATGTTGTCTCCATTTCATCATTTAGCTAATTTCACTGACTGTTTTGTCGAATTTGACCTTCGTTGACATGCATTTGGTATACTCTGATAGAACACTTTGCTTTTTGAAGATTTTCCACTCTGTAGCTGTGTCTTAGACTGAAGGCATATTGGGCAGTAGTGTTTTTCCCTAGTCTTTTTGATCATATGACATTTTATCTGCTCGTTCACATTCAGTTTATTGCCTTTCACTCGGTCGCTTCTATGGTGGCGTAATTTATGAGGCTGTCTACCCTATTCACTGATCCCATGTAGACCTTGCTAAGGCTCATCCTTCAGAAAGGGATGCTCCGTGGTGTAAGTCCACAGACCTGGGATTGAATGTCATTCATTTGTACTGATAGTCCAGATATACTGGCAATACTGTTTGAAAATTCCGTATCCATTATTTGGTAGACTTCGGTCTTCGGCTTTTCTACGAACGATTTTGTCGTTTTTCTGAAGACAACATCTACATTGGGCTTGGTGACTGGAGTGTGATGACACAGACATGAGATGTAGTAAAGGGATCGATTTGCATATCGTGTGCTGTATTCTCCAGAGCGCTGTCGCGGTTAAATGTGAGCACAGATATTTTTTCAGTTCCAAGCACGCTATATGCCACTGAAAAGGCAGCTTGTCACTAACGGTGGATTGGTGAGCTAAATGTCCCACTATCGTTGAGTGGAAGTGGAGTGTTTCTCGATCCACATTTGGTGGCCTTGACTGACAAAGGTTAAAGAAAATGTGTCACGAAATAATCCACATTTTTCGATGGAGTCCTTAATTAGCATATTTCCTAATTTAAGATCACAATATAAAGGGAATACAATAAATACCTCATGTTTCAGGATGTTGGTGAAGAGTTTGTTTATATCACTGTCAGAATATTCTTTTCTCATAAAATTTAACCATATATTTTCAGTTTTTGAAAACAGTCCAGATCCTGGTAATGGCAGACTAGTTGTGCGAATTAAAATACTTTTTAACTTCTTAAGGGTGAAAAGGATACTCGGCTCCATCGTTTTTGATTGGAGCTATGGAGTGTAGACTGGTGTTTGAGACTGAAGATAGTCAGTAGTATTCAGCTGTTCCTGTAATTACTGCCCTTCACTCTTTATGTTACCATAATATACCAGAATTATTGACATTTACGTATTATTTCAGCTTAATAGTGGCATCGAGTATTGAAGAGTAAGCAGAATGTTTCTCGGGAATACAGAAGTACATTGCATGCATCAGTATGAGACTCCTAAACTTCGGCCACTGCTGCAGTAGACTCTTTTTTCTTAGTGTCTTATGCCAGTGGAATACACAACTATTTTTTCACAAAACAGACCTATGTCTTTAAAAGATCTCTTGGTAAAGTATACTTTTTTCTGTAGCGGATGCATCTCGAAGGGAACTATATGCAGTAGCTACGTGGTCACTCACTTATAAGTTGTGATTCAGCTTCAAAGAATTCTCTTGGGTCTACTGCCATACCTTTCCAGTGGTTAGGACTCTCGCCGACCATGCACATGGTCCGGGGTTCGATCCCCTGCCAGCGCACACCCGATATCTATGGTCGGCCTGCAAAATTGGGCTACTGATATCACATGCTGAAAATTCCATACTTGTACCAAAAATACGGTGTAGAATCAATAAATAAAATAAAATAAATAAACCCTCAAATATGTTGATTTGAAGATCAGATGGCTGGAAAGAATCACCAACAAGAAACTATGGGAACGAACAAAACAAGAACCAATCGCCCAACAAATATGCAGGAGAAAGTGGAGATGGATTGGACACTCACTGAGGAGGCCGCTGGGTGACATCGCGCGTCAGGCCAACGCTCGAGTGGAACCCGAAAGGGAAGCGGCGAATGGGATGTCCAAGGGTGACATGGAGGAGATCGTATGAAGAGGAGTTGAAGCAGTATGTATTAACATGGATGCAAGTGAAAAGTACAGCAGAAGACAGAAGCAAGTGGAGACGTGCAGTTGAAGCCCTATGTTCCACTAGGAACCCAAGGAAACAATAATAACAATGTGTTGATTTAACTATCCTCCAAACTTCCGTCAACTTAGGTGCTCGGTGATTAGATTTCACTTCACACAATATAGCTGTAACGAAATCCAGTCACTGGAGTACTTCACACTGCGAAATAGCGATCTTCAGAAAACTGACCATAATAAGCCTTTTGCAGATTTTCGCAAAGTGGATGCTTTTATCCATACTTTTAAATGTAGTTGTGACTAGGCATAGACATAAGTGATTTTAAAAAGGTTTGTGATTAACTACCGAATACAACAAGTAAAATTCAGGTAGACCTGTTTATAACTTCTCAGTTAAAATCCTTTCTGAATCATTGAGCACCAGTCACATTTTCGAAAAGTCTTGTCCTGATACAAAAGAGCTTTTGAATTATCGGAAGCCTTCTTGCACGTTTATAGTGGAAAAATAATTAATCCCATATTCTTAATTTCACCAACTGAAAGTGGAATCAGTCATGTGTGGAAATGACAAACAAATCTACATTCAAACTTTGTAAAACCTCTTCACAAAACCTGGAAGATCCGGAATGAGAAAATAAGCAGCTGCAATTCTTCTTAGAATTACAAAGCTTTCAGTTCATAGACTAGCAAATAAAACGGAAACTTGGTTCCTTTTTCGAAGTTATTTATTTAATTTGGTCTTGTGTTTTGTCGGAAATCACGCGACATTCCTCTTGTTGTCTTTTTTTTAATGGAAATATCTAGCGAAGTTTTCTCTACTCTCAGTTACCTTGTGTTTGTATATGCACGAAAAGGCGTATCAAGATAACAAACCAGAGGCATAATTTTAATTCCACTTAAACTTATTTTGTGAAAAAAGGAAAGATATGACTAGAAACCCTAGTTTACTGAACAACTATATGTTCGAAACTACTAGAAAAAATCTCCTTTGCATGAAAGACAATATCCGGTCCTATCTTATGCAGTAACAGCCAGTCATAATATGCTGATAATCTGATATTTCAGAACTATGCTTATCAGAAAAAATGTTTTGAAAAACGCATCGCCTTTTCCTTTGAGGTCATTTTAAAATAAACAGTTGTTTGTTTTAATGTTTCTGTAGTCAAAAGATGCTTTTTCAATGTTCGTAATGTGTTTGTGATGTCGGAAGTAGCGGTTTATCCCGGTTCTCCAGATGAAGCAGGTTTGTGAACTCCTGCAGATTTCAAAATAAATCTCAATTAGGGCTTAGTTCATCACTTAAATATGAAAGGAGCCGATATAATAACGCCAGTGTGTTTTTACCGAACACACCAATTATTATTAATATTGTACATTCTTGCGAGTCACAATTTATTGTCGGTGCAGAGTCCATAGAAGAAGCGAAAAATGATTCTCTGGTCAGAAAACTTCCTGACGGAAGTTTAGTTCTCAGTAATCAGAGTTGGTATATCTTAATCAAAACATTTCAAACAGATTCTTTTTAGGTACGAGATAAGAATAAAACATGGGGATTTTGAGTGGAGTATTCACCGCAGCATTGTGGATTTGAAGAGTTTCCATGCATCATTCATGTTACAAAGAGCTCTTATTTCTCTAAGTGGTAAAAGGTAATTGAAATATTTTCATGCATTTGCAAAAGAAAGGATAGTCGTAGGAAAATCAGTCCTTTTCCTCCGATGCTTGAATTTGTATCTGAACAAAAATTATGTGACCGAAGGGTAATTTTTAACAAATCCAGATATTTTGTTTAGGTAATGTTGGAGAAATACATTCAAAGTATTGTCGATATTCAGGAGTATCGGGAATCGGACCTCGTCGTAAGTTTTATATTTTCGTTCGCGTTTCTTGCCGACCGCTTTCCAGTTTGCGTGTTAGTACTTTCATATTCATTTGTACAAAGTACTTTTAAAAATTTGTGGCCCAAGTCTATCTAAGACTTAGATACTCTGCAAATTCACGAACTGTTACTCGCAACTGTTAAACCGAGTTCAGCATGTTTTAGACTGTCTCTGTAGTGTTTAATCTCGTTGGCATCTGCAACTGCATTTAAAATCTGCTACATGCTTTCATAACCAGGTGCAAAAATGAGTAATTTATTCATTACAAGAGTACATTGGTTATATTCCTTACCTTTTATATTTTCATAGGCGTCGGAAACAAGAGGTTAAATAGGTAGTTCTCTGCCATGTAAAGACTTCATTAGTTTGACGAAATATCCGTTTCATAAATTTGAAACAAGGAAAATCAGTTCCCAATTTAGGCAGTATTTGTCAGTTGGCTTTAATCTATAGCATTTGTTATATCATATTATAAAAGGATATTCAAAATAATATAGTTTGTTTAATAGCTATTAATTATATCACAATGAGTCTAAAACTGTGTCACATGAAGTCAAGTCAACAGCAAGTTTTGTGATTTGCTTGGTATATACCTTATAAGAAACAAATTTGCCATAAATTAGAGTTTATTAAGCGTAATAGCTTAGAAAACACGTGAAAAATGTTGCGTAATTAAGTAGAAAACTTCTTAGTAATTGGCAACTAATTCATTGTGTGGTTTGAGACCTAGATGCCTAGGACTAATGATTCGTTTATACAAGTAGTCTTCGGCACATGTTTTGAAACCCTTTGTAAGCCTTTTTTATCATTTTGATGTGACCTATAGCAAAGATGTTAGTTAATCTATTCACACTTTTTGAAGTAATATATGAAGGGCGCATATTGACTTTTGATTGTATCAGTGATTGGGATGGTTAAGACAAGGGAAATAATTCATTTTCATGACGCGTCACAACCAAAGACGTGCTTATTGTTTTTTTAACATATTTACAGCACTGTCACCCTTTTAAATGAGGTTTTTTTTACCGAAGCACTTTGAGTGTAGGAGCTTTTGCAATAATGGGATGGTTAGATTGGTTCTGACATGCTGCTTTATTCTTAAACAGAGTTTTGCTTGCTGGACATTAGATTTAGGAAAGTTAGCTTGACAATTAGACAGAAACAGATGGGTAATCAGACAAAAGGAATATTTTAATTTCATTGCTTTTGTACTGGGATAAATGTTTGGATATACAGGAGTGGTGTAAAATTAACCAGATTTAGCCATTTATTGCAGTGAATTGTGTGGGTATTTAAATGAGTGTCTGTAGCTTAATAAGACCTCCTAAAGTGCTAAGGTTAGCATTTAACGTCGAGTGTTCACTCAGATATTGATAATCGCTTTTGTGAAATCAGTCGTCTCTGTGAGCATAATTCGTTTTAAATACAATTTACTCCCGTAAACATATTCAATTCCATACACGTAAGGTACATTTGAAGACAATGGCACAATCAGTACGACCCCATTTTGATTGTGACTGTGTAAAACTATGTAAATATAAATGATGAGTGATTTTTGTGCGTTATCAAATCTACGATTTACTATATATTGGGCTGAAAGTTTTTAGAATATAACGCGTAGCAGGGAATCATGGGTTTTAACGTAGAAATGTGGGTAGAAAATGAATTATTACCCGTAGTTTTCCTCCGACTGCAAACACTGTTGTGAGACAATTTGCAACTCGGTATTATGTTACCTTGATGTAGTATCTATAACTCTGTGTAACGGGAACTGGGCAGCAACAAATAGCCTAAGCTATCTCTCTTAAATACAATTTATCAAGTATCCACGGATTTATTTTCGGATAAATATCTGTTCGACATGGCTAATGAGTAAACTTTAAGCTATTATCTCTTTACATCTTTGGTTAGATATGGTATGAACTAGTATTGTGCAAAAATTCAAATGGTCAGAAATGTTTTAAGTTTTGAATTATTAAACTTGCCTCACTGTTTGTTTAGTTACTGGTGCAATACAGTAAAGCTGACCGGCTTTCGCCAGCCTTTCTTCTAGCATATAGGTGTACTGTCGAGAAGTTACCGGTAATAAAATGTTAGTAAACGTCGTAGCGACTATTTACTCAGAAGGCATATGTATTTAGAAGAGAGGATTGGAAAACCTGAGTTAGGGTCACATAGGACATATGCAGGAAGCATGGGCATTTAACAGGATGAGTAATCGACAGGTTTATTAATTCAGAAACAAGAATACAGGAATATGTGGAGATGGAAATTGAAAATAAAGTGGGTTAGAGTTTGAATGCACGACATCTCAGTTCTCATAAAATTAGTCATAAGGTTCAAGGAAGCTCTTAATATGCACAAGGAAATAATGAGAAAATATTCACAGCAGATGTCTTAGTGGTCTAATCGAAGTCTCACAGATCTTTCTAAACATAATAACAGACTTCAAGTCCCCCACTTAAAATTGTGGCAGTGCCTACTTAGACATATTCGGTTTTGAGTTAATGATAGTGTGTAGGAACACAGAAAGTTGGGATGAGATATATAACAATAGCACAAAGTGGACACAGTAATTTTACTCGAGTTATTTTAACATATTTGTATAGCCTTAACTGTGTAGTTTGATAAAATTTCCATAAGCTAAGATAGATTTCCTTTATTTTTGTTAATCACTAAAGGAGTAAACTGACTTTCCAAATTTAATGACTAGAATTTTATCTTTCAGTAAAACTTTGTTTGTTGTATCGGGATATTTTTATAAATGAACTGAGTAATTATAAATAAAATGAGGTTCTACACTTACATTAGATGGAGATGGTTTCACATTTGTAGATTTTCCCTCTCAGTTTTATTAAATGTTTCCATGAAATCCATGATCACTGATCAAATTAAACAAAGATTTCGACATTGAATTTGCACATTAGCGTACTTAATCAACAAATTTATTGGAGTAAAAATACATGATGCATGATTTTAACTTTTTCAGCTTAGGTTTCTTGAGGTGTCGCCATTGTCATTCGTGAATTGTTCCACAGGTTTGAAACTAAAAGAAGATTGCGTTCACAAGCTGCCGTCCTATAATTATTTTAACAAATGTTACTGTACATCCACAATATGTTTGCAGAAAAGGTAAATCAGTTGGTATTCTTTAATTTAATATGTAGCAGAATATACTGATGTTTGTACAGTTAGGTAGAAAACATATTCATATTCTTACACTGTAATAAATGATATTTAGGTATATGGTTTCGTTTAAAAGACAGAACTTTTAAATATAAAGATCTGAAAGGTTTATACTCAGCACAGATACGCGTTACAGGGATTGGAAAACGTTTATATAACATTGAAAATTATTCTACAAAAGCATTTGAAAATATCACATGTATTCTGCCGTTTATCTGTTTATGCATCTTTGCATTGCGAATGGTATTATAGGACCGCACGTCGTCGACCACAAATGTTAACTTCACTCTTATGTGAGAATACTGGACGCAGAGCAAGCTTTCTAGTTCCCAGAACACTTAAAGTTCATTGACTACACTACAAAGAACTTCGGAAACACTTCCAATGATTACTAGTAGGGAAATCATTTCTCCTAAGATTGAAGAGAGATAAATTGTTTATGTTGAGAGTAGAAGTCTTCAAAATGTTTCCAACCAACCTCTGCAAACTAATTTAATCAACTATATACATTTAAATTTTCCGTAAAGCATATCGCTATATGACACTACCGTTTATAGGCATGTGGGATTTGCCAGAATTGGAAATATAACGACTGACTGTGCATAAGTCACAATCAACCAGTCAAAGTAATTAGTATCTGGAATCATTAGAATCTATTAGATTGTAAAGTCTACGTTTTTGACAATAAATAAATAGATTTATTCTGGACAAAATGTTAACACAATGTACAGAATTTTTAGCATAATTTATTGCATAATATTTTGTCCTTAACCAGGATCTTCAAGTAAAATAGCAGTACATAGTATATCACGTGACGCAGTGCTTTTAGATCTGAAGCATGGTCTAATCCTCTATGATATATTTCCTTCTTTTCCGCAAAATGCATACTGGTAGTTTGAAATTTAATTGAAAATGTGTGAGAATACGTTTTACAAATCAAGGATATAACTGAATGGTTGAGACAATAAGAACTAGGGAAAGTATTATGTATTGTGTTAGGTGGATTCAAGCAACCAAAAAAAGTCTTAATGATTATTGGTGATAATAAAGCAACATTGATGACAAGAAAGTACATTTTGTCATCACCAAATTCTTAAGGACCATTCTGGTCACTACTTGATTACTTCTTGTAATTTTCCAGTGGACAGTAAAATTAAATGTGATGATGCTTCATGAGAAAAACCGTCCAGTTTTAAGCGATAACAGAAATCTTTCAAGTACCTTTGAATATTGTCGGCTTAATGAAACTAAAATTCAGTATCAAGTTCTGAATCTTGGTAGTAATCTTAAGAGAAACTTGATTTCCTTCAAGAGTGCATATAAACCATGTGCTGAAGAGGACAAAACCCGTAGGTCAGAGATTCATCTTAATAGTGTTTAACACTTTCTCTTGACAAAAAGTAAAATTTCAGTTATCCACCGTTCTGGGGAATATAAATTATTAGTAATGTGAGGAAAAATTAAGACTTTTCCATGTACACTAATTAGGAATATCATTATATCAGTATTCCGATTAAGTTACTTAACAAAGCGACCTCTGAATTTTAACTGACTTTTACAAACCCCATTTTCAAGTCTTTCAATAGTTCCTGTCTATGAGATTTAGGTTTAATGGTCTAGGGGATAACGCTCTGGCGTTTGAAAAGATGGATGCTGGTTTGAGTATCAATGGGAACACCACCACTCATTGGAGATGCACTTATATCCAGTGACGAGCCCTCAGTGGAACAAAATGCTCAACCTTAACTCCACTACTGGTCATTATCAACCAGATAATAATATTATAAGTTATATATCAACACAAATATTTCTCTTATAATAAATAAACTTCTCTTGTAAGTTTATAAATGGTGATAAGTTTTATTCTATAAACATTTCTATGGAGATTACAGTCCATGACCATGCTAACACTAATACAGCCGAATTCATCAGTCTTTTTTTATAGAGGTTGCATGTTTATGGAACTCCTTGTGAATAACTTCTGCTTGACTTAACTTTTGTGTTTCTCGACAAGGCATTTCCAAAATCTTGAACAAAAGATGTTTTCACTGAGACTGTAACTTGCATTAATCAGTGGTAAAGGCAGAAATCTTATTCAGCTACTCAGTTTACTGTTATCCACGCATCAGTGAGTCATTGGTGATAACAAAAATCTATGATTTTTGCATGCGAAGCATGGACTGTTCAAAACAAACACTAGCATGCATTTCACATGAGTGATGATAACCTTGAAATGTAGGCTTTGGGCATTGCTAAATTAACACACTGCGTTATCTTATTACTAAAATTTAGAATCACGCACAACAAACTTTCCAGGAATATTGTGATAAAACTCGAATAGCTTTTGAGCCACATTATTTACTACCATATGATTAATTCATAAGAATTTCAATTTACCCTATGATTTCATTTGTAATTTAGTATTTATACATTGTTTATTGTTATCTTTTTATGTTATATCACTTCATTGTATAGATGGCTCATTTTGAAAGATAGCTATTTTGTATATATGAAACAGCGTGGAGACAAAGTCAAAGCAAAAGATATTGATAAGTCAGAAAAAGGCAAGCTAAGATTTGCATTTTCAATTGAGCTCAGTGGAAAAAATAGATCTTGGAGATTATGCAATATATTTTTAATGGATCAGAACTTTGCATTTAAGACAAGAACAGTTGAACGATCAGGACAGTGTCAACTTAAGTTATATAATTCTCTTGGGTAAGTGGTCATCATTAATTTTTGGGAATATGGTGTGTGTTTTTTTTTTATGAAAGTAGAAGTGTGATAGTATATTTGAACTGGTACATTTTACTATGAAGACAGTAGACAAATCAAAGTAGAATCATTGACACGATTATATCATTTCTGGTCGTCACTTCTGATAACAGTAAATGAAGCATAATAAACAGAAACAGCTACAGACAATAAAATGATATAATTATGTTTACATATTTAAAGGCCATATTTCAACTATAAGCTGTTAAATGCTTTATACATTTTTAAAATGCGTATTACTCAGAGTTTAATATTGATTAAAGTTTTTGGATGAGTTTGGTATCCCATAGTATCCACAAATAAGTAATTTATTCACATTCATTTTCATTATAATTTGCCTAAACACGAGGTTTCCTTCTGTAATGAGCTTAAGTATCTTAATTTGAAATATCTTCAAAATAAACTGTTGATTGTGTTTTAATTAAAATCATCTGACACATCATTTAAACTTGTCAGTTTATTTGATAGTACTATGGACAGTTTGTTTCTTTGAGAAAAAGAAGGAAATACATCTAAACTGTATATTTTTTTTAAGAAAAGCATCTTATTTCTCTGAAATAAACTGAACATTGTGAAGGAGAGAGAACATTTTGTTCCACTTCCTAAAACTGACAGGCTTATTTATTTTATTTATAACAATAATCCTAGATGAAATGATGAAACAACAGGAACTAACCAGGCATAACTACTCAGATCACTCAGCCTTAACGGAATAACTAAATAAACGGTAATATGTCTTCAATGAGACCAAAATACTGGTCAACTGCTGCGTGATTTAAGCTAGGTAATGTAGAATTATGAAGATGGCTATTCAGAAAATGATTTAATGAGTATTTTTTTAATTTCATCTTTTACTGTATTTATTTAGTTAAGTCATAAAATTTTAATGTAGATTTCGTTACGAGGCAACATCATTTCGAGGTCACTGGACAGCTGTTCTGTCCTAGTTTGGGACTTTTCAGCACTGCGCGCCCATTACCTCATCAGAAATAGAACCCAGGACCTTGAGGTTACAAGACCAAGCTTGTTGATTATTCAGCCACCTGGGCCAGAATTTAATGATCCATGAATTCTAACTTCTGTCAATTCGTGATAAAGCACTACCCTCATCTAATACCTTTGATAGGCATCCAATTTACTTTGACACAGCAGACTTCACTGGATATGATTTCTCAACACATCTTCAGGACATCCATGCAGTAGCCATCAGCGAGATGGAGAGTGACATTTAGATCATGGTGTAACAGTAGAAGGCAAGACATGGAAGCAAAGGTATATTTTTCATTGATCAAACCGCCGTATTGACCTTTGGGAATTTGAGAGAATAATATTCCTTTGGAGCATATTGTCTGTATCACACTACCACAATGAGTTTGCTTAGGGATTTGGCTTAATTCCAATTTTGGGGCCTCAGTTGAGGGTAGCGCTTTGAAGTGTATTGATAGAAGTTAGAATTCATGAGTCAATGAATTCCTGCCCAAGTAGTTGAACGCTCAGTGGACTCGCCTCATGACATGACGATCCCATATTTGACCTCTGAAGAAACCATGGATTCGTACTACTGAAGAGTCCCAAGGTATGCTTCCTATTTTTCAGTGATCTGTAACTGCTGTTGGTTCGTGTACAAAACTACAATTAAACTAATCCAGATTTCTACAAAAACGCATAACCTAATAATCATGAAACTAGAGATGGGAACGTAATCAAATGGAATTAACATGAAGTAGATACATCTATTAATGCATGATTAACTTTATTTTTTTAATGATATTTGTGAAATTTAAGAAAATATTAATTCTTCACTCTTATCATAAAAAATCCAGTTCTTTTACATCACTAGAATGCATATAGTTTACGTAGCCAGTAAAATAAGTGAACCACATAAGAGTATATATTGAATTCAGTTAACAGACATTTTTTACCGTTTATTTTTTGTTATTTATTTAAACTATGTCTAGTTTTTAAATCATACTTTTCAAAATCTTTCGGTTAAACAGTATGCTTAGTGATTGTGTATTTAACTTTCCACTGAAGTATTTATTTGAAAAAAATAATTCATTATATATTATAGTGGAGTTTTCACCTTAGTGATTCAAAATAACCGCTGTGATACTTGAAGAACTAAAAATGTTACTAAAAAAAATAAATCTTCACCTATTCTTCTCGGCTGACGTAGTAAAGTGCTTTATCTACCTACTTAGTCAAACAAAAATAGACACAATGTAAGCTGATTAATGAGAATACTGACGTAATTCTACATTATTCGAAGGTAGTGAACACCTGTTCAATAGTTCTGAAAAATAAATTCGAAAAATTGAAGACTATTTGTTACTCCGTGATCTCTGATGCTTTCCAAGTGTACATGAAATAAGTTCCCTTATCCTGAACCACGTCTCTGACGAGTAGCCTGCACATATTCTGATTAAGTTAATAAATCTAACAATGGTTTTAAAAAGTCAGAAAATAATCTTCACTTACCTAAATAAGTAAATGGATAAGATCAAGTCTAAAGTTTTGTTTTCAAGAGGAATCTAATCTTCCATATTAGATAAGTTCACCTGATACAATACAGAGTGATATAGTATTCATAGCTAGATGACATTTCGAGCACTATTTATTATTCATAATCTTATCAGTGTAACCACGCGACTTCATAACATACTTTGTATAGCTTTACTCTCCCCCCACGTTGTTTTATTGACAGTTTCCATATATATCCTGTGTAGGTGTTGAGAGATTAAGGCAATACAAATCAAGTTATGAAGTCGTATGGTGACACTGATATGATTATGAACAATAAATTGTGCTCAAAACAACAACCAGTTATGAATACTGTATAATACTGTATAACACTTTATGTTATAAATAGTAAACTTATTTAGTACAGAAATATATTCAACCGCAATATCCAAATTCTACACTTTTATGAAATTTAATCTTATTTTAGTGAAGACATAACACACTTGCCTACGCTAAAGTGACTGTGTAGGTATAAAATCTCAACAGAGAACATAATTTGGAGCAAAAAGATAAACGATCACCTAAGCGCAATTTAATCTATATTTCTAATTTTAGACTAAAAGTTTTAAGAACCAGTTGTGTTTTAAACGATTCTGCTAACTTTATGGTTTTGACAGAGACCGACCAATTAATATTGTTGTTATTATATTATTTCCTTGGTTTCCGAGTGAGGTTTAAGGCTCTGACAGGATATCTCTGTTTCATCCTTATCTCTGCAGTCCTTTTTAGTGGGCTCCATACTAGCAAATAAGCTTCCATATACTCTTCATAGCCTTGGACGCCCAAGTCGTCGTTACCCATTCTAGTTCCAAATGAGGGTGCGCTTGGCTCATCATGTCACTCAATGTTCTCTCCAGCATATTCCTAATCTAAATCCATTTCCTACTGCATATTCTTTGGGCGATAGGTGCTTAGTTGGTTCGTTGTCAGAGTTCTTTGTTACCATTTCCCGAAGGCCAGCCGCTCGATATTCAGTATGGAACCATAGAAGGCAGCTGTTGATAAAAGTCGGAAGCTTGTTGGATTTGCTTTTCGTGATGCGGTTATCAAATCTCTGAATCATATAGAAGTAATGACCTGATTTTCCTGTTAAGGATCCCAATCTTGTTCCTGTTGCTGACTGCAGCAGATTTCCTTACCCATATAGGAATAATGATCGTTTGACTTACTTTTCCCATCCCAACCGTCTTTGATACGCTCGTCTGGGATGCCACCCGCAGGGGAAACAATGTTGCCTAGATAAGTCAAAGAGATGGGCTCTTTTAGATTTCTCCTGTTGATAGTTGTTAATGCATTTTGCTGCTGGTTAAGTGTCTTCATCACTTCCGTTTCCTTTGTGTTCCCTTGAAGTCTTGTCTTCACTTCTCATTCGGAAAAAATGTTGGTTTTACCTCCAGATCTTCGAGTTTACGATATAGGAGATGTAAATCATCCACAACATACGGGTCTCCTGTGGTCTTCTCGTCTAGCCAACATATATCCATCTTCCTGCTACCCAACATCTGTCACATGTTCCAGTTCATACTACCACGATGATGATATCATTGATGATATTAGGTAGTCTCGTCTTTCTCCTATCTTAACTCCAAACATTTTGCTGAGATCTTCGTTGTGAATCACTCGATATGTAGCGTCTTCGTACAGCTGCTGAACGAAACTGATAAAGGTTTGAGACTGTCTGTACTGGTGAAACAGTTTCAAAATTACTTCACTGTCAACAATTTCAGAGGCCTTTTCGAAGTGGATGAAGTTGAGGTGTAGATTTGTCTGCCATTCTGTGCTCTGTTTGATGATAGAGTGGAGATTCAATCCTCACACGATCTACTTTTCCTGGATGCAGCTTGTTCCAGATGGAGTTATGCATCCAGATAAATGTTTAGTCTCTCCAAAATGATGTGAGCTAATATTTTGCTTGATGTAGACAACAGAGTGATTCCGCAACAGTCCTAGCGAAGGCATAAGCCACTCTTATTTGGTAGTTTGACAAGTTAACTCTTCTTCCAATCCGTAGGTAGCTTTCCTTCCTTCTAAAATTTCAGTATTGGTAGTGTTAGGATATCTTGTGAGGTCTTTAAATGTGTGTTTCCAGTGCTTGTGGCGGAATTTCATGTGGTCTTACTGCCTTTGCAACTGACTTTCAGTGGCTTTGTATTGTTCGAAATTCCTGCCTTTGTCGTTGGATAGATGTTCACTGGCAGTTTTGTAGGTGTTGATGGTATTTACGGAGGATTTGTGAGTTTCGATCGGTTGGGGATTCGTTTGAAGTGACCAACCGATTGTTTTCTTTGTTTCCTCACCTTGGTGATGCTCTTTTCTCGGATAGCCACTTGGTTATCTTGTACAGTGATGTGAGCTCCCTCTAACCTAGATTTCATAATAAATAAATGTATAATGCACTTCATAAGCATTACTTACAATGGTTACGTATTATCGATATGTTTATATTTTCATTAAAGATTAGAAAAAATGGCAATGGGCGAATAATGCTTATTGTGCACATCTATCCCCCATCATATAATTTGAATAAGAGTTTAGCTGTAATGTACGTTACTCAGATTTTGTGAATTTCACATTTATTCACATAAAATGGATATCAAGTTGACCCCAATATGGTTTCTAAGTTACTTATCGTATTTCGTCAAACTTTTCGTATACTCTTCGGAATGTGTTTTTGATGGGAACACTGTATTGTATGTGTAATGAAATGATAAATGAAGGTAAAGAGATTAGTTAATCTGTTTCTTCTCTAAAGGGGAGAGAGCAAAATTTCTGTCCCAAAGAAAAATGTGAGCAGGCACCTTGTCGTTCTGAATCAAAAATGAAACTACAAGGTAGTGTAGGATTTTATAACTAATAGTTGCTTTATTTTTCATTTTCAAGTCTTTAAGTAGTGATTTAAGTGAAATATGAGAGTTCGGACTAGCTGGATGAGCACTACTGAAATATGAAATATATGCAGTGGCATAAGATATTCACTCATTCATAGTGAAACCCATTTTTATTTTCAACGATTCTATTGTTTTGGCTTTTTATCGTTTCTCATTTTCAAGTTTTTGTTCAGATGTCCCATAAAGCAGGTATGATATCCCAGAGGCTTTTAGTTTCATTTCAGAATCTTTTAAGACTTCCTTATGGGTATCACCATAGAAAGTATTCGCCTACGCAGACCGATGAGCGACTGAACTGTTATTACTGAAGTTAAAAATTCTGTTGTCAATAATGCATGATTCACTGAATGTTTTTTGAGAATTATTGTGCTCATTACACCAGGTAAAATGACACTAGAAATTCCCATGCAATACTAATTTTATTCACTTAAGTCGCACCTGTCATCCGTTTTCCATTATGGATAAAATTTTATTTTGATAAAGTCTCACAGTGTTATTATTATACAGTAATATTTACTGATGACGTTTCGAGCACAATTTATTGCTCATAATCATAATCCATAATCGAATTATACTCTACCACAGTGCTCAAGTTTTATTCTTATATCGAAACTAAGTATTTTCTTGGATATTCTATCACCAGAAAAAACGGCAGCTTAGCTTGTATCTATATTCAGGTGTAATCAAAGTTATTTCATATGATCACTCAGCGACTCATCGTGAGATTTGTTACACTTGCATGTAGGAATTTTTATTTTTGGTCATAGTGACAGGAATTTGTTGTTTTTTTTATTTAAATTCACTGTTTTACTCATGGAATGTACTAAGTATGCATTGTTTTAACTGGACTGATTATTTTAATGCTGAATATTTTAGCTATCAAAGTGCATCTGGTGTCAGTTGAATCATATGAAAACTATTCTCTAAACAAATTAACCAAGATAGAGTAAATATTCCATTGAAGCGATTTTAATAACATCCGATAAATTCTGCAGTTGTGTTTACGTGTTAATAGTATGCTCAATAAAAAGCATGAATACATATTTTGATAGTTTTGTTGAATACTCAGACTTACGATATATTTTATCAGAAGACCACTGAAATCCGGGAAATACTAGATGACTATTTCATCCTAGTTTGCTTCATCAGTAAGTATCAATGAAACCAGCAGGAACTGAACCTGTGACCTTCAGGTTATGGGGCGAGCCCGTTGAACATTCAGCTACCATGACGGAATCCAACAGCCCATTAGTTCTAACTTCTGTCAATTTGCGATTTTAGCTCCACCAACTAATACCACCGGTAAGTATTTGCCATCACAACTGACCTAGTAGACCTCACTGGCCGCGACTTTCCCCTAGAATTCCAGGCAATGTCGTCCTATGGTCAGTCACCAATAAGAATCAAATTTATCTTGAAGAGTTGGTTTGTAGGGACCGATCGATAAATGGCGGAAGTTAAGATTAATAGGCCATTGGTTTACATCTGAGTGGCTGAATGATCAACCAGCTTATCTTAGGTAATAGGTGTGATCTTCGGCGAGGTAATGAATATGTAGTGCTGAAGAGTCACAGACTAGTATGAAACAGGTGTCCAGTAATTCATGGTTTTTTGTGGTTCACAAAATGTTATCATCCCGTGATCAAAACTGAAATCAAAGCAAAGGTAATTAATTATAATGTTTATACAACTTATATATTCTTGTCAACTTTAACTGTTATCCTGTTGACAGAAGATGAGTCCACTTTAAGAAAACTACTTCAGTTAACTTGAGAAATATTGTTGTTTTTAAGACAGTTTACTAGCTGTATTAGCACATTTTTTACAGCTACTTTCTCATACTAAAATACCTAATATATTCACACTGCAAACAATCTGACAAACAAATTTTCATTTTTTGAGATATTTTTTTTTCAATTTAAGTGAATTAGTCGTAATCTGTCAATCAGAATCTCGTATGAATGATTGGAATAATATTCTGTCATCACATATTTATCAAGATGGCACAAGAGATTTTATACAATACAATCGTTTTGGATCATTTGCTCCACCAAGATCTGATACACAAATATGCATGTAAGTTTTATACATGATTCATAAAAAGAAAGGGTTCAACAATGATTACATCCATTTATTTCACGTAGAAGTTTTGTAAAGAAAAAACGTGACTAGAAAATACCTAGATTCATTTTGTAAGATATGTTGAATAAAAAATGTTTAGACGCTATAGCTCCGCCATTTATGTTATTTCTGGGGAATTTTTTCAACAAGATTAGATGAATGACAATAAGGGGACAGATAATAACTGTGGGAGCTGTTCGGTATTGATTTAGATTTAGTATTTCATCGTGGACATTGCTTCACCAGGGTTTCTGATATCTTCACTAAATTTATTTATGAAAGTTGTATGGATACATAGTTCTTGCCAAGTTATGAGTGAATGAATGGATTTTCGTTGCCTAACCTTTTATTTCACGCGGCGATCACTTTTTGTCGCTTGTTGGTAGGCTTCACTATTAATCTGCTTAATTGATATTTCTCTCTCATCTGATTGAAAGATGTTTGGTTTTCTTCTTAAGTAGGGTGGTGACTGGGTGTGTATCCACACCTCTGTGGATTGACGTTTCTTTAGAAACTCTACTGCTGTCATCGAGATAGCAAGTTGTAAGACAGCAGGCTTTTCTCAGCTGAAGTTTTTCTTGTGAATTTCTGTATACATTGTGGTGAAAGAAAAAGTACGGTCTCTTTTTACCACTAATTTGTTTATGGGCTTTTAGAGTGATCCAGTTTCTAGAGTGACCAGCATGTATTTGAAGACAAAATTTATAAATTACATTTTCCTTGTCTTCCTTTGGTAATGGATCTCTTGAATTCAGAAGTAGGTATTTAAGTAATTTTATTGGCTTACGTGTCTTTCAGATTCCAGATGGACAAAAGGGTCTTTTGACATATCCTGTGATGTCTGTGATATGTGGTAATCCTCACACAGCTGTGTCTACTTCAGTGTCTTAGATTGTTCAGAGAAGCACCTTTTGATGAGGTTACGGGGACAGTCATTTTCTTTGCATATATTGGGAAGACAGTTTTCCTAAGATTCTTGTACAGTTTAATTCCTCCGATGGGCCTTCGCTCTTGGAAATATTTTCTTAGAACAGTATTCCATAGGAGCTGTGGGATTACTGCTGTTATAGTTTAAAAATTGATTAATGTGAGTAGTTGTTCAGCAGACTTTTGTTGTTAAGGTATCATCACCGGTTACAGTGAAGAGCATAAATAGTGGAGGATTTTTATTGTTTCTTCTTCCATAGTAAATTAAATTCTTCCGAAAGTTTGATTGAGGAATTTGAGATTGTTTTCTTTTTTCGTAACTTTGAGAAACACGAAAGTGCAATTTTCAAATGAATAATTTGATTTAATGCGCTACAGTTTGCCTCGAGGGGATAGATAACTCTTTAATCACAAAAATTCACTTAAATGTGAATTATGCTTAGCAGCAGTCAGCATCAGCAAATGTGTTAGGAACTGAGATATATACAGAGAAGTCATCTTGAATAGACTAACTATATATTGGGTCAAAATGTAATACCAATATCAAGGATACCACAACGTCAAAGAAGATTGTGTTAGATGCAAGATCTCGTAAATATTAGATTATTTTACCGATTAGTCTCTTCTAATTAATTTGTCAATACATCAAGACAATAGGTGAACATTCTATATCAAATACTGAAGTGATACAATACCTGGAGAAGACTCATTTTATGTACCTGTGACACTGTGTTTAGCATTAGTTCGCCTGAATTAAAAGTGGTGCCTCAAAAAAGCATATTTATCATACAATCAATTTTCAAGCGTTATGCTGCAAATCAAACTGCCGTACAAATAATCTCACCCTTATGATAGAAATTGTGATATATCATTCATAAAAATGACAAAAGGATGAATACCACATAGGTCTCTTGAGAATCTATCGCTGACCGGATCGTTTGAATTGTTAAAGACATTTTAATAAGCTGCCAGTAAAATAAGTCACTTTTCAATGTGTTCTTAAACTAAATATAAGGACAGACTTATTCTCGTAACCTTTGAAAATCTGAAAATATTCACTAGTCTTCATGTAATTAATCTTTCTCTTCATCATGCCCATGTTTGGTCCTATGCTACCATGACTTTTCTGTCTTCCTACTTTGCACGCCTAATGGATGTGTGACAGTGTGAACTGATGCACGTTTATGCAGAATTCTGTATTTAATCATAGGTCTTATAATAGACAGGCTCACGTTAAATATAAAATATTTACATCTTACTCAAAAAAGGGTATGAAAACTCAGTAACTCGTCGTATTTTCTAACACTTGGACGGCCTTTTGTACCTAAGGTATTTTTTTTAAGATGAAGGTAAGTGAGGCTATTTAATCAATCTCCATACAATCTGGATTCGACGAGAGTGGCGGTTGTATCATCCACATCAGATCTCATTGTATGTCATCAAGTTAAATGAAAATTTTTCATAATCTCTCACAAAACTGCTTAAGTCTTGATAAAGATTTTCTTGGCACATTTACATGCCCAGTCTTCGTTTAATAGCAATAATTTCTATAACTTCTCTGAGACAGCTTGATGACATTTCACCTAAATATCGTGGGATACTGAAAGTTTCTGTTAAAGTAAAATTCAGCCAGAAACTTTCTTGCAGTATTCTAATTTACTATTTCTGTTTTTCATGTTTGAAGTAGGGATGATGCTAACTGACGCCAGCTCATATATAGGCTATCATTGTATTAGTCAACAAAATAAAGGCTGATCATTCTATGAATTTAGTAAATGAGTCCTATTATCTATACAGTAGGAAATTAGTAGTATACTTTGAGCCTTTTGTGCACTTATAAACGTCCGTAAAGTAAGTAGACCACAATTTGTCATAGATATAGAGCTACAACATTATCCATCTAAACTTAAAAAAACACCCGTGTTCTTTCAAAACACCTAATGATACTATTTAGGGTGGTTGAAACCAGATGATCTCTAGTACGGATACAACAAAGTGTAAACACGACTTACTCTGAGGTCTGTCTATGCTTTGACTAAAAATAAGAAGGCATAGATCAGACCATTCATAGGAAAGTATAAGTTTAAATGTCAATTAATAAGCATATCAACTCATATGATGGAGAAGATTTGTAGCTCACGAGGATGATTTTGGTGTAGTTGTGTTCTCCGAAGCTCATGATTTAGTTGCGAAACTATTACTGTCCTACTAGACAGTATTTTTTGGCGTATATTTCTGAGAACACAACAAAACCAAAATGCCAACTAATGGCAGAAAGCCTAACGAATAACAGTGCGTGATGTTGCTTACGGGGTGGGAAGTGAAATTCTCAACTGACCGATTACATTAGAAAGCTGAGCTGGATTGTTAAATTGGAGCTACAACAGTTACACTAGTAAAGCTCAATGATAAAATCCCCAGGACGGTTGACAATAAAAAAGCATATACAGCGAGGATATACATTTAGACACTTAGAAGACAAAGAACTGAGCTAAGAATATTCTTTACGATAACATTTTCATCAGATTCATGTAGCTAAAGATTAACTTCTGTTAACAACACTGGTGTTTTTTAAATAACATAGAATCAATAAGGTCAAAAGGTTACATTTCAAAAACGTGTATATGTGATAATATGCATAAATATAACAGTGAATTGAATATCAGATAAATTAAGAAAATTAATGCAACAATTAAAGGTAGAAGTATGTGTAAAGATTAAACAAGCAGTTACGTAATGTATAGATTTTTGGGGAAAATAAGATGAGTAAATAAGAAGTGTGTTTAAATGGATTAAGTAAGGAACAATGTAAGATGAAGTAGGCAGAATAATAAGTCAATTAACACAATATTAACTTGTAAATGGCTTAGGGGAGGGGGGAAATGTCAGGTTTTTACATTCATTGTCAAAGTAACGAAAGTGATTTCATACATTTATTCCCCTTAATGAATTTGAATAAAGCAAGAACAACAGTTTTGCAAAGTAAAATGGTTGGCTTTCGTTGGCTTCTCATCATCTGCTTACATGCAAAAGTCATTATTAAGTATATCGACAGAAACAATTTTAACATACTTGCACAGAGTTCATTTTTAAACAAAAATCAATCAATTTATGCATACAGTAATAATATATAAATATAATATTAAACACTATTCCGAACAATAATGATCATACACAATGGAAAATTTTGCCATTACGCAATCAGGTGAAAGAGAGGGTGAAAATATCCAGTTACCAGGGCAAGGAAAGACAGATAACCTCTTCTTTCTGAACGCTTAAATCGGGTTTCAGGCACTTGATGGAGATTGTTTAGGCAGACTTGAGGAGAATTGAACTCTTTTGCTGATGGATAATTTTGAGCGATCTTGCGACGTCCACCTCATGACCCGTGTCAAGGAGATGCCTGACGATGGCACTGTTTAAAGCATTTGTTCCCTTTATACATGAGCTTTTTGGTACATGTTCTGAAAATCGTATGTGCGCCCTTCTTTCTGTTTTTTCAATGTGACTGCTCCCGCAGCTACATGTAAATTTGTATACGCACAGTTAACATGAGAAGGATATCTGTCGATTTTTGATTGCACCAAAGAGGAAGTTGTTCGATAGATGATGATCAGCTTAGCTACAGGATAGGCTTTGCCTAGTGATATCTTCAATCTTCTGTTGAAAAGTGCTGAAATATTTTCACCTTTATAGTCAAGTTGAATGCAGATGGGCTTTTTCTCCACTGTGATTTGCTTGACATTTGAGCCTTCAAATCTTCCGTACTTGTTAAGGAACCTTTGTGGGTGACAGCTGCTTTTCAAGATCATTTCGAAAAACAAAATTATTCTGAAGAAACAGGTTCGGATTTCAGATATTCACATATGACAAAAGCTCCTGGGTGAGTAGAATTCATACTATCACTCTATTAAACGGGATGACTCAAGTATAATATCACTATATTTTTATACCAAATTTACCACTTAAAATGCTAGTGACCACCTTCCATGTTGTGAATTACTATTTATAAGTTATGTTAGCTGAGTGAACAATAAGCAAACGAATAAGTAATATTAGAGGCCTACATATACAAGTTAAACTCTTTACTTAGAATGCAATGACCTGTGTATATCCATTATGAATTTTCGAAATATAATCGAACAATCATTCGCAGAACCTGGTGACAGCATAGAACAGTTAAATGACTGTTGTCCTGTTTAATTAGAAGTGTCAGCATCCGTAAATTCTGATTTCACTTTAAACGTAAGGTAACGTGAAATTGAAATTTCTGTGATTAAACCTTTTTGAATACCACAGTAATTCTGATTATACTTGCAGGTAATTAGACTGAATTTCTTTTCATTTTCTACTTCACATATAATTAATATTCCTTTTATTTCATTAACTGAAGGTTTATAGATGGGGCATGTTATATGGAAGCTGTAGCCAAAGCTATTGCTCAAGCTCAAAACGAAATTTTCATCACAGATTGGTGTATGCATCCTACAGTCTTTCTCAGACGGCCAGTACGTGATAACACATGGCGGCTGGATATGTTACTTCATGCTAAAGCAGTAAGAGTTTACACTTTATTATTTTTAAATTCGTTAAAATAACATGTGATGTATACATCACAGATTTTTCTTTTTAAAATAAGTGTAATCTTAAGCAGAATAATCTCAATGATCTAGGGGTGTTATGTGGATTCTGCGTTATGGTATAATGCCATATTGTTGCAGATCACATTATGTAATAAGCCATGACGCACTAGTTTTATTTGTAGTGTGAAGCTTCCAGTGAAGTTTATTGTTTATAGTTATATCACGGTGCTAGATGTGAAGCAGTATTAAGTAAGTATATTGCGTTTACTTGTGAGCTGTAAGTTATGGTAAAATTACTATCCGATAATTAACATTGTTCACGAGAAATGTCCGTTCAGACATGTAAATAAGAACAAACAGTGTTTGTGGACATTATTTCAAATCACCTCAACAGATATTATTTTACTTACTGAAAACTTGAATAAATATTGTTTACGCTAATAAACTAAAGAAGTATTTACCTAAACAATCATTAGGGGCAAGTGGGTGAATATAGCATAAAAAGGATATTTTTAAGTAACTCTCCACACAGCACCCAATATTCACATCAATGAACTAACCTCCTGGCCGAGTAATCGTTGTTGGAATATTTGAACTCCTAGCTCCAAAGACTGAACTCAAATTTGCGTAATTGTAACTGGGTTTTGTGATGGCGTCAGTAGGTTTAATTGAGCCTAGAATAATGGTAAGTGTTGTTCAGAACGATCTAAGGTAGGTAAAGTAATGGCAACCAGTGTAGCAGATGAATATCAGACTAAGCTAGATTTAAGGTGAAAGACTGGCTATTCTAAACATATAAGATGTCAAGAAAAAGACAAACCCAGTTACCTCCGTAAAGAGAAACTTCTAGTAAACACTATTGCTACAAGTCTTTAGAAGTGACTTCAAGGAGGTTACGGTTATATATGCACACATATTTTTAGATGGTGAGTGCTAGAAATAGCCAGAAGTTTGTATAATTAAATAATTATGTCATTGTTGCTAAACATGTGTTGGAGGCAACGTATAACCTTTTTTCTAAGCATGTCACCCTTGACATCGATGTCAAATGGTTATGGGGAAACCAGTGGGAAATGCCTCATCTATGTTTCGTGTTTATTCATATTCGTCAGCGGCCTCTAGGGGATCTGTGTCTCGCCAGAGTTTCGAGCTGAGGTCACTCAGTGCAGCAATCAAAAACCACCTCTAGGGATAATACATACATTCATTGGTCAGTTATGAGTGACAACTATCATTAACCTAGTCGCTGACTGATGGAATTCAGTCAGTACTGAGAATTAGACACACCGTGTTCATCACTCCTTACTGACTAATCAATGAACCTCGTTTTAACACCATAACGGTCACCAGAGGAAAAAAATTACTGTTGAACGTATGCAATCGTTTTCTAATTCTTTGAAACCTGGTCTTTCCATCCTGGCATACTCTGAGTGTCTAATCGTCACCACTTCTGAAAGATTATTTGTAATCAGTGGTTATGACATGTAATTCTGAGGTCATAAGATGTCTACCCACATACAGTAATGGTTATTATTTAATGAGCAACTTCATTCATTCACTTTATAGTAAATGTAATAACACTGATTATTTCTCTTGCAGTTCCAGTGGAACATTGGGCTTCAACCTTGAGCTCCAAAGTTTCAGTAGTTCTGGTGGTTTTATGAGTTTGATTTTCTAGTTTCACGCCTGACTTTTCCTGTTCATCGGGCTTACAACCAGTGGAGAGACATAAATGTATGCACTGTCAGGGAGTCGAACCATGCACCAAATGCATGGTTGGTGAACATTCTATCACTAAACTATCGACATACGTAATGACACCGATGATCATTTACAATCTGTGTGATTTAATCGGGAGGTTCGAATTAATACAATTCAGTAGAGAAACTGTAAATCTTCAAATTTAAAAGCAAATTTCTGGTGTATACAAGATGTTTGCTTTTGAGTTCACTAAAGCCTTGTTTCTAAACTCTAGAATCCATTATATTGTCATTCAGTTAAATAGATCTATGATGAACAAAATTTGTTGAATTTCGTCAGTTGTCCGAACTACATGTCTTACCACTAGATATTTTTATGTGACAGAGGTACTTTTTTTTGGTATTTGCTTGTATAAATATGCACAGAAATCTCGCTTATGTTCAATATTTTATTCATAGTTGAATTTTACTATCGGGATATATCATTATCTTGCAAATAAAAAATATTTTACAATCAGTTGGATGAACCTAAATTTGATATTGTTAATTTCCTCTGCTTAGAAACAAGGGGTCAAAATATACATAATGCTTTACAAGGAAAGCGAATTCGCAGTGAAGTTTAGAAGCAGAAAAGTGAAGCGATGGCTTCGATCTCTTCATTCAAATATTCATGTGAGTTGAGTTTGTTCGCTTATCAAAATTATCAAGTTTGATATTTTCTACTCAGTTAGTTCAAATTCTGTCATAACCGGTTTAAACCTTACCTTCAGTCACCACTCGTTACGACAGTCCAAGGCTATTCCAGACATTCACACCAATTCTGTAATAATTTTTCAACTTTGCAGTAAAAGCTAATTTTAAACCTAATTAAGTAATAACACCACTCATAAATGCTACCATATTATGTCGTGCAATCATTCAACAAAATACTTCATCTGACATAACCATACCTCTGCATCAGGAACTAGATTTACAGAATGTATGACTAGGAATCATTTATCTAAAAGTAACGAATCAAACGTCTACGCATAATTGGCTGTTATCGGTTGAAAAATAGTAAAAGTAATTGTGTGGTGAGTATTTGTCTCAAACTATATTGAAAAACCTCAGCATTTTTCACGTTACTACGGGAAACAGATCAGATCATAAGACCTTACATTCTTTTAACTTTGCCTAACTAACTTCAGAACCTTATTATTTTCACCATTATGGAGTTGCCAAACAGATCCACATCCTCAGGTTGACATGTTGGCTCTTGTGCAAACGCTTCGACGATGTATGATTAATTAACTTGAAGTAAATTGGTGAATGGTGGTTAGCAGTGGACTCTAGGATAACGCGCATTTCGTACTATTTGAGGCTCGTCATCCGGATATACTTGCATTCCCGAATCAGTGAGTGATGGTAGTCTCACTGAGGCTCCAACCTAGTACCAACAGCTGCCGAGCACTTGGGTCATATCAATCAACAGGAAGGTGCAAATTAAACTGAATAATTACTAGTACACCCATTTCACAGGAAATAGGTGGCTCTCATGGCCCTAGTGGTCTATTGGATAACGCTTTGGCGTTTGAAACTATGTCTACTGGGCTCGAGCCCCGGTGCAAATACCATCACTCACTGACTGGAGATTGCAGGTACATCCGGGTGACAAATCCCATATAGGACAAAATGCGCATCCTGAATTTCACTGCTAGTCATCCTCAACCAATTTACTTCAAGATCTGCCTCCTATTTCTTTACACACCAATTTTAAAACAATTCACAATTTCGTTTCAGAAATAACAGAAGGAACTTTTTTGCATGGATCCAATTGATTTTCTTATTTTGTATCACAATGACATAAAACCTGTCTTAAAAATCATTTTTGTTCTTGCACAGTTTACCCCTATAGCAAGTCGTCTTTTAATGTATTAGTTGTTTTGAAATGTAGCATGCTATTTGATAGTCACTGATATGAGAACAGAATTAGGGCACTTTTCATGGCATAACTTTATGACAGGAAAACTCAGTTTGGTAATACTCACAGTGATGCACATTTATCAGTGTATGGATCGCAAGTATTAGATGTGAAATCTGCATCATAACAATGTTCTGTTTAAAGCCGTTGACATGTTTTGTTTTACATATTCATAACATCCTCATACTCTAACTTAATAAGTAATTTTTGGTAAAAAATAAACTATGAGTAAATACGTAGTAATATGTATCATTTAAAATTTCTAAAACAGCTTACATATAGTTATACTGCGATAAAGTATTACTGGGTACCTCGGTAGTTCAATGGTAGAGTGCCCATCAAACATGCATATGGTAGGGCTTTGATTCCAGGCTGACAGTAGACTCAGGCAAGGAAGGAAGATTAGAAGTAGGAATAGCAAACCACGTTGCAAACAGAACAATATTATTGCTACTGTGACTTTAAAAATTAGAGCCTTTTGTTGCACTCGGAACCCAAAGGAATGAAAGAAGGTGTTACGAAGACAATTTCAGCAAATTGTATACTCTTAAATCCTCAGAGTAGTCTTCCTGAATAAGTGTTATCTGGTGGATTCTGAAGTATGTATGTCTGAAATGAAATACATTTAACTAATCTTATCAATAAGATTGGTCTTTATCCTGTTTTGACTAGAATTATATACTGGTTACATCAATAAGCAATTTTTGAAAGCAAAAATATGTATCCTCACTCTTTATCCTGTAGTAGTACTTATTGGTTTCACTGAATTCACTGTTTGTTTGTTTTTTGATTTAAGGTTTATCGTTCACCACGTTCAACTCGTTTATGGAGTCACCATGAGAAAATGGTTGCTATTGATCAGTCAGTTGTTTTCCTTGGTGGTATCGACCTTTGTTTTGGTCGATGGGATACCAATGATCATAGGTGAGATAAAGCAAACAGTTATATTTTCCCTTTCCTAAACATAAATCTAATTCATGTTTAAGGAATACTTTGCTGTTAAAAATAGTTTTCACTTGTAAATCGGAATTGACTTTTCTTTATTAGGCTAAACACTACACATACTGAAGATTGTTATCAAGAAATAAATAATGATAATTTAACAACTTCTAATTCTTAGAATAATGGAGCTTTGAAAACTTTCACTGGATTCCAGATGGATTATAGTCAAGTAGATGAAATATGTGTCGGTTTGTCGGCAGAAATAATATTAATGTGATGCTATAAAAAATCTTATCATTGTTTGTCTTTAATATTCATTATACGTATGTGAAAAAGAGAATAGTGTACCCATTATTCACTGTAAGTTACTCCATATAGGATTCGACGAAACATTCTGTATTTACATGAAAGGGGACTATGTTGCTGGTGATTATTTACATTCATGTATAGTTTACAGCTTCTCAGGAAAGATGAACTAGGATTTAAATTTATATTGTGAATTTTCAACAAGGCTGATGGAAAAATTTTCTAAATTTTAGATTTTCTCAGATCAGTATTTAAGGAATGCCAGATGATAAATTTTTTTGTTTGTAGTTTATAATCATGTTAACTTCTAATTTTCTTACATTTTCCAGCTGAGGTAACCTAAATATAGATAGTAAAGTAAAATAAGTTTCACTGATGCAAAGGCTAGTGTAAAACAGCTCTGCTCATTAAGGCTTTTGTTTTCACTGCTATTATCATTATCATCATCATGCTTGTAGAAAGTTTAATAGTGACTTGCCTATCCATTTAGCAGCCATACAGTGAAAACTCTTTTTTATTCCTTCACGTCCCCAGTGGAACATAGGGCTTCAAGCTAGAGGCTTGAAGTCTCAGTGGTAGTGGTGTTTATTTTTACTCATAACATACCTTTTTTTCTCACCAATCTTATCACTGGCTTAGCGAGGTAAAGGAGTGCGTTGGTCGGGGATCGAACCCCTGACCACATGCGTGGTTGGTGACCATCCTACCATTGTACCACTGACTCAGGAGAGTGAAAGCCCTTAAACACTTTTTTATTCCATTTTTTAAATCTACTTAGTGTGGCAAACATTTCAAAATACATTAACTATTAGAGGTAGCAGACCAGATTGTTGGCTCAAATTAGGAATAGAGATTAGTTCGTATTCTCGAAGATTTTTAAATGTAACCTCATCGGAGTTAAATTAGAGAATATGTGAGTTATGCTTAAGTGGCCAGTACTTTGAACTATCTTCACTTACAAATGAAAAAGTCTGTCCTAAAAGGGAGAGTATTTACAAATAAACTGATTGTCAAAAGACATGATGTCCATTCTCACATGTCAATGCATACAGACAACTGAAGACACCAATATTACAAATCCGAGACAAAGTAAACACCAATAATGCCAGAAAATTTCTAGAAGCCTGGCATTCAATCAACAGTCTTATTGGCATAGAAAGAATCATTAATCAATAAAAAGGGACCACTTCCAGGTCAATAAAAAAATCAGTAACAATACAAGTCGACCAGAGGGTGAAAAAAATCTCCATAAACAATCAGTTACGTTCCACGTTACCAGGGGAGATGGAGAATTCCAAAATCTCACTTAAGATTGAAATATACACTGAATGTGTCTAGAAAGAGATTAATAGCTTCTCATTTAAGCCATTCTGGACATAACTGCAACTGACTATCATATGTTTATTCCAAGACTAATACTATCGTGAACTTATCTTTTAAGGGAAGTTTGACGGTCAGATAGCTGCTGCTTCTGTTATCAGTCTCTCAATTAACCGGCTAGGCTTTGTGACTTCTGTTGTTTCAGTAAAGTCTCTATTCATAAATAATTTACTCTCTACTACATTATTTATTTCCAGTATATTCATCTCAATCTCCCGTGTATAAATTGGCACAAAAAGAATTAGTTTGATTTAACGCATATTTTTCTGCCATATTCTGTAGAGTAACAACAGTTCATGATCTAATTCAATGCAAATAGTAAACTTAGGTGTTATTTTCGCCCAAGTAAATTAAAAGTTGTACCTTAAAAACTCATTGAAAAACTTCAACGACATGGTTATTCACTACATTCTGATCATTTAAATTGAAATAACCACCAGTCCATGCACCATATTCTTTCAGTAACTTCCCCTCTGGCCACTGTTTGATCGTTTATTTGTAATAATGAACATTAGACCTATATATATCATTTCATTGAGTTCCCAGTAGAATTTGGGGCTTCAGGAGTAAATCTCCATTTTACCCTGCTCCTTGCAGTACATTTATGGTGGCTTCACGATTGCCGAAAAGCTGTCATTCTTTATTACATGACCTGCTTCATGTCATCCTCGGAAACCTAATTCAGGTTCCACTCTAGGGCCTGGTAGAATTTTTCACTCAACTGTTTCCCTGTCGTATATCCCATCCATAGAGAGAAACATCAATATCAACTGACTTAGTATACATTTGTGCTATATTTAAACAGAAGCTAAAGAGTATATGACTATTATAGAAAAGAAGTTATAATAGGGAAGTATTAACCAAACTGTTCGGAACGTTGTGTTTGGAAACATGATAATAATCTATATATGTCCAAACCAAGTTCACTTTTAACAGTGTGAAAAAATTTGGGCATTGAGTATATGATATTCATCATAATAAAGGTGTTCTGTATTTGATTGGATGGGGGATTTCATCATGAACTGACATCAATTACAGAACCACTGGAAAACCTGAGGGTACTGGAAAGCTGTTTCATCCTAGTTTGGGACTCTTCAGCAGTACGCACCCACTACCAGTGGTCGAACCTAGGACCCTCTCGTTACAAGGCGAGCTCGTAGACCATTGAGCCACTGGGGCCCGATCCAATGGCCTATGAATTCTAACTTCTGCCAATTCACGACATAGCGCGAACACTTCGTAATGTCTTCTTCGATGAGTTACTGCCTCATCTTCAACCTGCTGTACCCTACTGGTCATGGCTTCCCACAAGAACCCCAGGTCAATGCCTGAATACGGCCAGTCACTAGTGAGCATCAGATTAATTTTCAAGTATTGTTCCAGTGGGTTCTAGTAGGAAGCCGTGACCAGTAGGGTTCCAGTGGCTCAATGGTCTACGAGCTCGCCTTGTAACGAGAGGATCCTAGGTTCGACCACTGGTAGTGGGTGCGTACTGCTGAAGAGTCCCAAACTAGGATGAAACAGCTTCCCAGTACCCTCAGGTTTTCCAGTGGTTCTGTAATTGATGTCAGTTCATGATGAAATCCCCCATCCAATCAAATACAAAACACCTTTATTATAATGAATGGTAATAATCTTATTATTCAAAATTTAACAACAGAACCGGAAAGACATTTGAAACTATCGGATTGAATCAGCAAGAATCACAAAGAAAACAGGCAGATGGTGACATTAAACATGAGAAGATACGTGTAAAATTAAGTTTTTCCTATTGATGAGATTACAAGTTTAAGCCAGTATACACATCGTTAGTGTTACTACTGTCTATTTCATCATAAAATATTTCAGTCAACCTTTCTTCTTGCTTAGAAATATCAACAAATACTGAAAACAAATTATGCATAATCTTAATCTGAATAAACTTATATCATTTCAGGAATTTCCAGCAAGTGCAACGATTTGCTAATGATAAATACCGATAGATCTGACATGAAAATAAAAAAATTAACCGTCATTGCATGATTTATTGCTTTGCTGTTAGAAAACAGTTTCATAATTTTATTAAATGATAGGTATAATGAAACTGTATGCCCTTGAAATTTTAGAAGAATGCAATTGATTAATCTGTTTATATCAGGTCTATTACAGGGGTTGTTTATTAAATTTTACTAAAAATTGTACTATGTATTTATTTTTCAAGAATATCATTGACCATTGAGTCTCTTCTTTTGTTTAAGTCACCTACTCAACTTATTGATTTTATACTAAATTTCAGATAATGTATTTTATCAAAATACTTATTTCTATTTATATAGCATTATTTAAACACTATTTTTTCATGATATTTCATCACATAGCCGTCTATATATATAAATTTTACGCAATAATGGCTGTACTAAATACTGTCTGTAACACAAAGCTATAAAGAGACTAGATTTCAAATTATATCGATACCTGTGTCTAGTAGGCTTTCATAAATTACTGAATGAAAATTCTACATTAATAAAGACGATTTCTACTAGACTGTATCGTAAATTACAAGCCGATGAAAAACATAAAGCAAAGATAACAAGAAGAGTTATCACCAAATCTATCACTGCTTATATTACTGTCTGAAGTTTCCGGCGAAACATAGGGCCTCACTCTGTTCTCTACAGCCTTTTTTAACTGCCTCCGTCACTAACCATAAGCGTTCATTACCTCTTCATATGATCTCAATGTTTATCTTAAAAACCCAACCTTTCACTTCTTATTCAGGTTCCACCTGAGAGCCGAGCGAGTGATGCAACTCACCGGCGTCCTGTGTGTGTGTCCAGCTAACCTTGCTAAGATACATTTGTTGGCTGATAGGTTCTTGGTTGGTTCTTTGTCAGAGTTCCTTGTTGCTAATCCTTTCTGACTGCCTGATCCTCAGTGAAGGCAGATGTTGATAAAAGTCTGAAACTCGTTGTAAATCTTTTTGGTGATGCGTGCGCCAAGTCTCTGAACCGCATAAAAGTTCTGACTAAACACCAGTGCTGTAAATTCTGATAATTTCCCCTACACTGAGTGCAACAGATTTTCACACTGATTTCGGAGCATTAAATGTTTATTTTACTTATCCTGGCCTTAAAATTATCATCCATGCCGCCTACATTTGAAACACTGCAGCGGAGGTAAGTGATGATAATTGTTGTTCTTTGTTGCTTTGCCATCTTCATAACCCTTGTGTTCTCCATGTTAACTTGAAGGCCTTTCTTCACTACTTATACGGCAAAAATGTTGGTTTTACCGCAAGATCTTCGAGTTTACGAGACAGGAGAAATAAATCATCCGTGAAATACGGATCTCCTGTGGTCCTTTTGTCTAGCCAACATAACACTCATCTGTCACATGTTCCAGTTCACACTACCACGATGATGATATCATTGGTGATATTAGATAGTCTCATCTTACTCCTATCTCCACTTCAAACATTTCGTTGAGGTCTTCGTTGTGAATCACTCGATATCTAGGGTCTTCATTTAGCTGCCGAATGAAATTGATAAAGATTTGAAACTGCCTGTACTGGTGAAACAGTTTCAAAATTACTTCACGGTCAACAATTTCAGAGGCCTTTTCGAAGTGGATGAAGTTGAGGTGGAGATTTGTCTGTCATTCTGTGCCCTGTTTGATGATAGAGTGACGATTCAATCTGCAGCTTGTTCCAGATGAAGTTATGCATCCATATAAATGTTTAGTTTGTTCGTAAGGATGTGAGCTAATATTTTGCTTGATGTAGACAACAGTGTGATTCCACACTAGTTATAGGAAAGGTATACGCCACTCTTGTTTGGTAGTCTGACAAGCTAACTCTTCTTCCAATCGGTAGGTAGCTTTCCTTCCTTCTAAACTTTCAGTATTGGTGGCGTGAGGATATCTTGTGAGGTCTTTGCATGCGTTTTCAGTACTTGTGGAGGAATTCCACGTGGTGTGACTGCCTTCCCGACTGACTTTCAGTAGGTTTGTGTTATTCAGGATTTCGGCTTTTTTCGTTGGATGGATGTTCACTGGTAGTTCTGTAGGTGTTGGTGGTATTTACGGAGGATTTGTGAATTGCGATCGGTTGGGGATTCGTTTGAAGTGACCAGCTGATTGTTTCTTTTCTTTCCTCTCCTTGGTGATTAGGTTCCCTTCAGTATCTTCCATTGGCTCCATCTGTGTTGTTCTCTTCTCGGATAACCACCTGGTTATCTTGTGCGGTGATCTGAGGTCTTCCTTACTGGCGATCTGTTCTGTTTTAGTTTGCAGAGTGTCTTGTCTTTCTTCGCACTCTTCTTCACCACTTTCTTCAGTGCGTTTTTTGTTCAGTTCAGTTTCTCTCCTCGGTGTCTGTTTTTGCGCCAGTTTATTGCGTCTTTTACCATCACTCTCTCCTCTGCTAGCTTCCATGTATCCATAGAAAGCCATTCTTTGTCTTGCCTCTTCTTTCTTCCTGAAATTCTTATACAAGTTTCCTTTAACACAGAAAGTCTGAGGGTTCTTCCACACAGGTCCCATCAGCGATGCTACATGTTATCTCTTACTCTGCTGTGATATCTCCAATGAGGGTTTGCTTTGTAGTTTTGTCCCTCAGTCTCTGGATGTTGAACCTGAATGGTGATCTGTCCCTAGGTTCTATGAACTAGATGACGGTTTGAGTTCACATCTGTCCCCTCTCACGAATTTGTGTCTAATGAACTGCATCTTCATTTTCTTGAGTTTGAGGTGAAATCAGTCTGGTTTTTACTGTGTCCGTCAGGTAAAATCAACATCGTCTTTTGTATATCCTTGTGCTTGTGCATGCTACCTCCAATCACTAAATCACTGACTGCAAGTAATTCTCCTAAGTGTTCTTCGTCTCCATTGCTTTCACCGAGAGACTCTCAACTCATTATGAGTTCTATTCCTGTGTTCGTTGCTTCCAGTTTAGCATTCCTTTGACCCAACCAATGGTCCATGAATTCCAGCTTCTGAAAGTCGTGATATATATTTAGCACATCCGCCAGCCAGTGTCAGGGGTGAGTAACTGCCTTCTTGGCTGTTTCAGTGGACCCGCTTGTTACGACTGGACTTTTACAAAAGGTACCTGGAGTTCTAGTGAGAAGTCGGGTCCTAGTGGCTAAATGGTTTACGGACTAGTCCTGGAATCGAACCACAGTGTGTGAGTACTACTGAAAAGTCCCAGACTAGGGCGAGACAGTTGCTCGGTACTCCCAGATTTTCCTACGGTTCCCTAATTAACAGAAAAAAACTAACCATATGCATAAGAAAAATGAAACAAACTACTAAATTACTAGTTTCAGGATATTGGATGTCCTTTACAGCGTCAAGCCTACTAACATATATTAGCAGTTTAAAGACTTACTTTTGCTGATGTCGTTATAATCAAGGTGATCCAGTCGACTGGGAAACCGTTGAAATTTCAATGAAATAACACATAGAAATTGCAAGATAGCCTTCAGAAGTTCACAACCTACGCTAATTCTCGATCAATAAACTTTCTAATGAGACTCTTATTTATCATGCAATTAAAAACCAATAGCAGTAAGGTCATGTATGTTAAGTAAGTAAAAAGATCGATATGGATACGTGTGAATAAGGTGATAAAAAACTCCTTGAGAAGATCCAGGCAAAACTGGGGTCATCAGGATTGATATATATTTTAACTGTAGGACATTTGGAAATTTGAATTCATTCTGATAACGAAACTTTTTCAGTTAAACTATTTAACCGTGTAAAATTAACGACAACCAGCAGTATTCTCTTCCTTTGAATTGATTTAAATGGTCATGTTACCGTAATCTGAACACTGCCCTATTAAACTCCTTCATTACTAAAAACATAAAACAGAAGAAAAAGATATGAATTATTCATTTTAACAATTACTGCAACTTATCTTCACTGTATGTACTGCATACTCTGGAAAATGTTTGCAGGTAATCCACTAACCAGAGTAATTCATAGAAGATTGTACAGTATTTTTGAAATTTCTCATGTTACGACTAATCTGACATTTTAATGACTGGTCCTTGTAGTTGAGCAAAAAGACTGTAAGCATGCTGCTGTAGGTGAAATTTGTAATGCTTATTAGCATATCTGCATTGTAAATGTAACTGGAAATAATAAGATAACATATAGTTTATTTTCTTTATTTTGATTAAACCAAAACACCTTTGTGTACGACAAATTCAAAACCATAAGCTTTGTTATTTAATTCTAATCTAGAAACACTTACAGAAGGACTGTAAAGTTGATCAGTCATCTATAGTACTACCTATGAATGTTTCACTCAAGTGTACCATGTTCACTGTATTGTTATCAAAGGATACTCATTATTTAAGAAATTTTTTAATATGCTAAAATATCTACTAACCTAAACAAGATTAGACTGAACTGAAAACTGTAAACCTTAATTATATAAAATAGGTAATTATATGGTTTTATAATGTTTAGTTTGAGAAAACTTTGTTTAATTCATGAAGATTCTTTAAAATAAGAAGCCTGAAGCTCCTCTTTGTTCCCCTCGTAAATCTATTTCTCTTTATTTGATTTTGTAAACTCTACTTTATCTGTGACAAAAATTAACTATATTTAATCCACCTGGAAACAGTTATTCGATATAGTCAACAGTTTTAGTGTTAGCAAATCTTATTTAAAAAGTTCAACAGTTAATGTGTGTTAAACTCAGTCCTAAAGTTTTGTTTTAGTTCTCAAAGTTCCTATCAATAAATGAGCAGTTTTCTCATAATTCAGGTTTTAATATACAATTTAATATATATAAATTTCATGACAATGATTGTTGTTAGTCAGGACTGATAGTGACTGATAGTGCCCTATTCAGAAAGGTAGTTACCTGGGGTCCTAGTGAGAAGTCGTGACCAGTAGGGTGCAGTAGGTCGGGTGTGAGGACAAATATTCGCCGAAGACAATGGCTAGTGGTTGCGCTTTATCGTAAATTGGCAGAAATTAGAATTCATGGGCCATTGTATCCGGTCCCAGTGGCTTAATGGTGTACGAGCTCGCCTTATACCCAGAAGGTCCTGGGTTCGAACCCCGGTGGGTGCGTACTGATGAAGAGTCCCAAACTAGACTGATGAAACAGCTGTCCAGTACTCTTTGATGGGTTTTCCAATGGTTCTCTAACTGATTTCAGCTCATGATGAAATCCTGTAACTTTTACATTTCTCGTATCGAATATACATATATTAAAAAACACTCATTCTTACTGATATGTGTGTTATTATCATTATCGATTTCATTCATAAAATTCTAACTAAAAAGTTATTACAAGACAATCGTAACAACACTAATAGTAATAATAATAATAAAGGCAATCTGTGAGGTATGAAACACATACGCAGAAGATGATTTCGTCAAGAAATAACACAGTTGGCATCTTGATGAATCAGTAGATCAATTTATAATTTTTTTTGCTCACTACTTTTATTGTAAGGTTTTTCTTATCAATCATTTCAGATAAGTCATTTTTTTTGTTCTGATTTGTCTTTACTTTCTTACTACCTTCGTCTATATACTTTTTTGAAACGAAAATATAAAAAAACGCAATCACATTATTCGTCATAGTACTTATCAAAAGAAAATTTACCAACACATTTGAATGCGTAATAAATCTTTTTTTTTTTAAATATCTGAGTGGTTTTAAGAAATTTAAGGATGATTGTTTAATTAATTAAATTTCAGTTTTTGTAACCAATTACAACTTGACATGTGCCTAGTTATGAAAGACAAATAAACATATGTAAATTGTTTTTCATTAAACTAGGCTTCAAGATGTTCACAAAGTTGCTAAAGTTCAAGAGATCAATACAGAATTGAGGGTGAGTTATGAAAAAATAATAATAACTAGAGTTTGATTATTTTCTCAAATTGTAAAATATAACTGTGTAATATTTGTATAGAACAGAATGATTGGGTATGTCGTATAAATGAAAGACTTTTCACTGAAATGTAGGTGAACAATGAGTTTTCTTCTCTAGAAAAGCGTCTACAGTAGTGGATTAACGAGAAATAACCAATCTTATAACACTCATGCGGTATATATTGCAGATTTACCATGTTGACCGGATTTGATTCAGTGCACAACTGTACTTCAGTGTGCCTGCCTTTCTCAGAGAAAAAAAACATATCCAAAGTCCAAGATTCCAGAGTTTAGGTTAGTGAGTCTGCTTTGCGCAAGGTTCAGTCATTGAAAGCTGTAATATAATGTCGACAGATTAGTTATATGGTACTATGACACAGTGTTTCTCTGACTGAGTTTTCTGACAATGGTCACAGAAGTGAAATAAGGGGAAAAAAACTATCTAAGCAAAAGAATTAGTGAGATCAAAGTAAGAAGACTAAGTCTTATGATTAAGAAAAAAAATGTGTGTTTATGGAAGTGAGTAAGCTATTGTTACCTTCCTACTGCCTCCAAAGCCTAGAATGGCAGTCATACCTCCACCTCAACTTCATCGACTTCGAAAAGGCCTTCGACAGCTTTGGCAGTGAAGTAATTTGGAAACTACTTCGACACTATGGCTTACCTCAAGTCTTTATCAACCTCATTCAACAGCTATATGACAGTGGCACTTGTCAGGTGATCCACAACGGAAAACACAGAGAGGCGTTCGAAGTGCTTAAAGGAGTAGGAGAAGTCTGCCTGCCTGTTAACACCGATGGTATTCTTAATTGTGGTGGACTGTATTGTGCGTCAAACTGTGCATGGGAGCGTGGAGACAGGAATACGCTGGACCACCGATAAGAAGACTCTAGAAGATCTGGATTTCGCAGATGATATATGTCTAGTAACACACAAACTGGAAGACTTGCAGATGAAAACCAACAAACTGGCAGAAGAGGCAGGCAACGAAGACAGGACTCCAGGTGAATATAGAAAGATGGAGGTGATCAAGATAACCAACCAACCAATAGCAACAACGACCAGCACCAGTCTCCATCAACAGGAGAGATTTAATAGAGGTTACCTCCTTCATCTATCTAGGAAGCATTGTTTCAACTACAGACAACGCATGAGGTTGTCAAAGTCAGAATCGGAAAAGCAAGATACGCCTTTATCGAACTGAGACCAGTTTGAAAATCTTCTGCACTCAGCATAAAGAAAAAGATTCGCATTTTTAACACCAATATGAAGTCAGTTACTTCTTCTGTAAAGGTCAGAAACTTGCATAGCGTGTAACGAAAAGGATTCACAACAGGTTGCAGACTTTTATCAACAGCTGCCTCCTTAGATGGCTGGCTTCATACTTAAGATCAGATGGCCAGAAACAATTAGCAACATGAAATTCTGGCAGGCGACAAACCAACCAAGAGCCGATTGCTCAACAAATATGCCAAAGAAAATGGAGACGGATCGGGCATAAGTTGAGGAGGCCGTCGAATGACATTGCGCGCCAGGCCCTTGAGTGGAATCCAAATAAGAAGCGACGAGTGGGTCGTGCTACGGTGACATGGAGGAGATCATTTGGTGAGGAGGATATAAGAGATTATGGGAAATAGTGAACCCATTTGAAGAGTACAGCAGAGAATAGAAGAAAGTGGAGATGAGTTGTTGAAGCCTTATTGTTCCACTTGGAATCCAAGGGAATAATAATAATACTGTCTTCACTATAGAAGTGGATTTCTTCCGGATTCATACACATAAGGTATTCATTGTCATGTAATTTTCAAAGAGTACACATTGACAGTTAACAAATATGCTTCTAATCAAACTCAGTGACCGGCAATATTAACTTCGCGTGACGTTAATATTTTCTTATCACCTGACAGACTTTTCTTTGCATGTTATAGAAAAGATAAAATATTACCTATCGTCGTCTTTCAGCTGAATATTTTAATTTTATTATAGAAATAAACTATATTTACATACATTATCAGGTGTTAATGTCTAATGTGTATTCCTTATCACATTGATTTAAATCTGTTAATAAGCCATTTAAGAATGCTTGGTTAGTGGCAAGTACGGTAACTGCTAGGTTATTTAGTTCCAACAACTGATCACGTAATAATCAAAAAGTATTCATATTTTCATATGATTGTAAATAACACTTCTTAAGATAATCATAAGATATTTACTTCTGATTTACATACAGAATTTTAATGAGCAATTTTAAGCAGCTTTCTTTGACAATATTACTTAAGTATTTTGAAAGCTAGCCAAAAAGTAATACTACATAGTTATGATTTGTACTTAATGAGTTGGCGAAGAAAACATATGGTGAATGGATTTTCCTGAGTGATATTAATTGAACACATAGGTTTCTGTGATATTAATTCTGATATGTAATGTTCAATTTTTTATAATCTATATCTAAATTCCTCAAATCGGTGAAGTATGTTTCATTTTGAGTTTCTACTTTAGAGCAATAGTCATCCAATATTCTGCATTTATTACAAAATGGTAATTCCACTGTATGTAACTGCTACTATACTGATAGTTACTACAGAATCGATAAAGAACAATAGATGGATAGTGTCGCCTGGCTTTCAAACCGATAACTTTCTAGAGTTTGGATTTACAACTGTGAGATAGATTCTCAAGACGTACAATACTATGAAAAAGCTTCATTTCATTCCTTAAAACTTGTATCCTTATAAATATAAGTAACGTCGTTATCTTTCCCACATTTTATTTTTCTCAAGAGAATTAGAAGTTTACGTAAACGATCAAGAAATACATCACATACCTTGGGTAGACCAAGCTTTGATTTTGGCGATATTGAAATGCATGATATTGGATCAGACAGTGAACAAATGAGTTCACACTGTGACAATACTCCTAAATCACGTCGTCGAAAGCTCACAGATGCGGTGAGTTTCAGAAATTAATTTTTTGCTAAGTGTAAAAATATTTCATGACCCTTTTATTTAATCGCATGTATTATTCCCTCCGTTGTTTTTAATTACGTGTGTTTTATGCGATGATTTGGGTTCCTCAGACATGAAATGTATGTCTCCTGTAACCAAAGTTTTGAAAGCTAGGAAGCGCATTTGGCCTAAAAATGTTTGAAAATAACGAAGGTTCATGACTTCATAAAGCGTATTTTCCGCAAGTATAAATTAGTCAAAATGCCAAAATATTTATATAATAGCCAAACGGTAATAAAGTGTTTATTCTTCTTGTTTATACATTACTGTAATCTGAGAGTGTCCTAGAGGTAATTTACCGAACTTTATGCTACAGTGGACTTTAAAGGTTTTTTGTGTTACATATGTCACAAATACGGAGGAAGGAGTGTTCAACTATCCCCGTGTGTAGAATAATGTGTTGATATTTAGAGCAATCTAGTCTAGAAATATAATAATTTCAATGCTGCCTTTAGTATTTACAACTGGTCAGTAAAATAACAGATTTCAAAAGTGGATTTCGAAATGGTGTGTTTCCTGGGAAATTCACGTGTGTCTATGCGATAATAAAATTATGCAAATGCTTATCTGTTGACAACTATTAATGATTCATCTCAGCAACTGAGTAAAATAGAATCGTTTGGGAACTCATGGTTCGCCCTATTTAGGACTAGTTATATGGATATATCCAAATTCCAATGAGTGATGGTTTTCCAAATGAAACTAGAATTCATCAACCATCGTATCAGACACCAAACGAAATAACATCTGTTTAACCTCTATGCATACTCAAAGGGTCGGTATTAAGAAACAAAATTTCAGCATAGACCGCGCTACTCTGTTTTCTATGCTTTTCGGGTGAATGATTATTTCAATTTTAGTTCTAAGTTTTAGAATGAATTCTATCTATTCGCTTCTTTTTATCCTCAGAATTCAGGAAATCTTTATTACTCTTCTTTAAGTTGTTCTTTATTTTGGACCAATTCATTTGTTACAGGGTAGTTATATTTAAGTTCTTTTCTTATAAGTATTTTATGAGATATAATTGCTTGAACTGGTGAAATTCTGTACTAAGATCTGAGATGATTTGTCAGTCAACCTGTCATTTGTACAGTGCAACAGTGAGTAACGTACACTTTTTGAAGTAATTAATCACAATAATAAGGTCTTAAATTGTTAAGTGAAAAATAAACGCAGCTATAGATTTTCGCTGCTAAACTGCGTCCACTTGAATCTTGGGATAATGACACTTACAAAAAAGTATTTCATTTTGTTTTCGTTGGCTATTTGTGAATGACACTTGCTTTTAACAGGCATACTGAGAGTAAATTTAGGTTTATTTCTTCATGATGAATGACCATTTAACTCCACACTTTGAGAACTGTTCACATACATGAATAACATGAGTTTTGTTTAAAGATGAATTCGGATTCGATCATATAGTTGGTTGATAGTGTCCTCAATTATTATTATTATTATTATTGTTTCCTTTAATTCCTAGAGGAACATAGGGCTTCAGCCGCGCGTCTCCATTGCGTTCGGTTCTCTGTCAGAGTTTTCACCTGGCTCCAAGTCTGCCCACATGCTTTCATCTCCTCTTCACATGACCTCCTCTAAGTCACCCTTGTACTGACGACCAACTCGCCGCTTCCCTTTCGGGTTCCACTCGAGCAATGGCTTGTCTACTGATGTCACTTGATGGTTTCCTCAGAGTATGGCCAATCCATCTCCATTTCTTCCTGCCTATTTGTATCACAATCGGTTCCTGGTTGGTTCGTTCCCGAAGATCCCTGTTGCTGATCTTTTATGGCCGGCCATCTGGTCTTGAGTGGTATTGAGCGAAGACAACTGTTAATGAAGGTCTGTAGTTTGTTTGAGATGCTCTTTATGACGCGCAGTGCAAATCTCTGATCCGTATAGTAGCACTGACTTCACATTGGAGTTGAAAATCCGGATCTTATCTTCGTTTTGATGCTGAGTGCTGTTGACCTCCACACAGACTTGAGAGTAGCGAAAGCTTGTCTTGCTTTTCCGATTCTTGCTTTGATATCCTGGTCAGTTCCGTCGGCCTGTAGTTGAAACGATGCTTCCCAGGTAGGTAAAAGAGGTTGTTTCTTTCAGGTTCCTTCCATTTATGCTGATCATTGTGTGTTGTTGTTGCTGTTGGTGGTGTTGCCCAGGAATTTTCATCACCTCTGTTTTCACTGTGTTCACCTGAAGTCCTATCTTTGATGCTTCTTCTGCCAACTTGTTGCTTTTCACTTGCATATCTTCCAGTTTGTGGGAAATCAGACATATATCATCGACGAAGTCCAGATCCTCCAAGTTTTTTGTGTGTGTCCATTTTATGCCTGTTTCCTCATTGCCCGCCGCTGTTTGTCGCATTATCCAGTCTACTGCAATCAAGAAAATCATTGGCGATAGTAGGCAACCCTGTCTTACTCCTGTCTTCACTTCGAAGGATTCCGTGAGCTTCCCGTTGTGGATTACTTGGCATGCAGCGTTGTCATACAACTGTTGGATGAGATGTATAATTGTCGGTGGCACCCCGTAGTAGCGAAGTAGTTGCCAAATCACCTCTCGATCGACGCTGTCGAAGGCCTTTTCAAAGTCGATGAAGTTGAGATAGAGAGGTGACTGCCACTCCAAGCTTTGTTCAATGATGATCCGTAGTGTGGCGATCTGATCAATGCATGACTTGTTTCTCTTGAATCCAGCCTGTTGCGGTCGAAGTTTTTCATCCAGGGCATGCTTGATTCTCTCCAGGATGATGCGGCTTAGTATTTTGCTTGGGATGGACAGGAGCATAATTCCGCGCCAGTTCTTGCATTGCCTTAAGTCTTATCTCTTTGGTAGTTTGAATAAGTGTCTTCAATTACAGACTAGTAAAATGTGTGCAATAAATACATCGTTCTAATTATCCACCATGACTGATTAAATTACTGGACTAAAAATAATGTGAATCACCCTGGTAGTGAATTTATAAAAAAGGGTTTTCAGTAAGCAACTCATTTCACTTATTAGATCTTGTACAACATGCAGATGAATCAGTTTTGTTACCAATAGTCTTAGGAATTCATTTAAATACACCATATGAAACTTTAATTTCCATAACCTCCCTATGAGCGTCTATCTAAATGTTAAAAAAATATATTTATAGCACCTGATGTATGATTTGTAAGGCAAAAAAGAATGAAAAAATAAATATGCAATTCTGTAGTGGTTGTACAACCTTTCCGTATGTAGCAAAAATATAGAAGGTTATGAAAAGAGCCCTCATCGTTCATGACATAGAAGTATGTTTCACAAACTCAGTAAATGCCCTCTGAAAAGATCTCCCTTACAGTAGAGGAATTCTAATACTTTTTCTTTGCTTTTTCTTTTGCTGAGAACATCGTTGTGTGGGATGTGCATTGATAATATTTTTTGCTGTTGACTCATTGCAGTTACACTTAATCATAGCATACGCATTTTTAAGAGTAATAATACTAAGTCAAAAGACTCCAGTGTATTCGTCAGATGACAAATATCGACCATTCGGAAAAATGGAAAGCGAAAATTAAAGTAAAATACTGAAATCTAAACTGTTGTATCCTTTTTTCCTATTCTTCTAGAGTTTCAACCGACCCAGATTCTTTCGATTTTAAACTTATTTCCTGAACTAAACCAAAAAAGGCTAGGAATATATTTTGAAAACATTTTCCCACTAGAATTTTAAAGTACTTTAAGTAGTTCTGAACTCCATTACTACAAAGTATCTAAACAACAGCTTTCTGAGCAGTTATTTGGTCCATTTTTATGTTAGTTGCAGTCGTTTCAAAATTCACTATAACAGATGTTAGTCCAAGGGTATATAAGCTACTTTACGTCTGAATAAAACAATATCTGTATCTGTGAGATCCTATATTATTCTTTTGAAAGCATATTTCATACTTCATAAATTTATTCCCCTTTATGAATTTGAATAAAGCAAGAACAAGTGTTTGTGAAGAACGAGATATTGTACCATCATTTATTTCGTTGGCTTCTCATCATCTGCTTACAGCCTAAGTAAATTACTAAGTTAATGGACAGAAAAGTCTTAAAAAACTTGCAAATTTCAAACGATGTCAGTTAACAGGCGACTCCGAACTTAATAAACAGTGCTCAGAAAATTACACTTATGTAGTTTTCGCCCAGAGAGTTAAAGTTTAGACAGAATCAATGCATGTTTGAAGTAGTTAAGGAGTTACGTAATAAAGGCGAGAGGTGATTATGATGATGAGTAACATAGAAAATGAACAACAATATGATGAATTTAGTTCAAATCATAAAAACAAAAGACAGACAGAGTTACACTATATTAAAGCCAGAAATAGCGTAAGTGGTTATCCGTTTCCAGTTTCTTACATATCCCTTCTTGTTTTTAGCAGTAACATTGTTAGCAGCTAACAGTATCAATTCTTTTAGGTCAACAGATTATTTTACTGATATATTGTTTAGACTTTCAAGTACTAGTTTTGTAGGGAATTTGTTTGATTGGTTGGAAGATTTCATCATGAGCTGACATCAGTTAGAGAACCAATGGAAAACCCACCAAGGAATACTGGACAGCTGTTTCATCGTAGTCCGGGGCCCTTTAGCAGTACGCACTCACCACCACGGTTCGAACCAAGGACCTTCGGGTTATAGGGTGAGCATTAGGCAACTGGGACCCGATCCAGTGGCCAGCCCATGAATTCTAACTTCTGCCAATTCACGACACAGTGCAACCACATCGCCATATCTTCTTCGATGTGTAACTGTCATCACCTTCAACCTGCTGTACCCTACTGGTTACAGCTTCCCACTAGAATCCCAGGTAACTGACTGAAAAGGGCCAGTTATTTATGAACGTTTTTGTTAACCTGTTAGACTAGTGTGAATTCACATCGTGCTATATTACGACTATACTTTCTCTAAGTGAATAGTGATGATTGCTTTTC